TTATGGAGCCAAGTACAGTTTTCATAGAGAAATAAATGCACTTCTCTGAGAAAAAAAAAAAAAAAGATTATTCAGTCCACCACACTTAGTCTCAAGCAAAGTCTCTGGACAGGAGTAACATGCAGACAAACTTTCTGCCAAGCCATAACACAATCATCTGGAGTCCAACAACCAAAGCAGTCCTTTTTCCCAGCAGAAACCTCCCCAGCATGGTCTTTACAGGAAGGATTACTATCAGCATTCTGGCCTTCTGATCCATGACCAGAATCTCCCATACAGAACATCTTATGGTGTTCTAGCTCTTCTCTTGTAGGTGACCTCTCCAAACCTTTCCTATCTTACCATAAGCCATTCCCAAAGGCTTGTAATCCACATGGTCAGGTTTAGTCACAGGAACAACCCTACTCTTGGTACCAAAGTCTGTTTGGTTACTGTTCTCTTTATGCTGGGACAAAGTACCCAACATCCAAAAATAATGAAAGAAAGGTTTATTTAGGTCACAGTGTGTGGAGCTTTCAGTCCATACTCAGCTGGCTCCAAGGCAAACTGGTTCATGGCAGAAGGCAGCAGTTCACGGCAGTGGAAAACAGCAAAACATCAAGAGCAAACGGGAGGAACAGCAGCAACAATGGCAACAGAGAGCAAGTCTGTTTCCCTTATATTGCATTCAGGCTATCTGCCTCAGGCTGGGTGTAGCTCTCACACCCATAATCTCAGCACTGGATCATGAATTAATCACAAACTCTAGAAGCTTCCCCAATCACTGCACAAGTCTTTGGAGGGACAACAGATACAAACTGTAACAATCAAGAAGGAAAAAATCTGTGAAATACTTAAATATTGGCATAAGCACATTTTTGAAACTGAATTTTTATTGATTTGAGGGGTATTAGGTATCAGGCACTGGGTTTGTCACACATGTTTCCATCCAGTGAGAGGACTGAACTTTACACAGTGGCTGGGTTTGGCATAGGATTACACTCTCTGGGTTTAACTTTCCTTGTAACATGGAAGTAAAAATGTGGAAG